GCAAGTGTATATTGATTTGCATAATCCAAATTGCTAATAAGTCTTCCTCCAATCCTGATGTCACAGTCTTCTTCATATAGTCTAGCTTCTCAAATTATTTTCTCAGAATCCACCAGATGCTCTGCCGGGGAAGGAGGGGCAATCTCCTCCTGTACCAGTCAGATCTGATTTGATGGTACACACACACAAAAATAATAAAATTTAAAAAAAAAATTATTTTCTCAGCAGACAACTTAAATAGGTGTGAAGAAAGGACTACCCAGACACATACCTTTCCTGATTTTAAACCTTGCAGAGTGTCCTTCGTTCTGCTTGAACAACTGCTTCTTGGTCGGTGTACAAATTCCGCGTGAGCACAGATACATAGTCTGGAATTCTCATTCTTCTCAATGCTATCCACACAGTCTAAACACTTGTAAACATCTTTCTCTGCTTTCTGCCAAGATCATCTGACATCAGTTGCTGTTATACTGTTAATGTGTACCATCAACTGACACCAGTAGTGATATCCAGCCTCTTCTGAATCCAGCTTGACTTTCTGACACTTCTCTAAGAGTGCACTAACCACACGTAAGTTATGGTGATCGGGCACTGGGTTCCCAAGGCACCCTCTGGGACCATTCTTTTTGGCTGTCCCTCTCCTCACCATGACAATGACTTCCAAACTCCTGCGTGTGGTCATCCCTGGGCCGCTCAGCTCAGGCAAGGGCACTATGTGCCCGATCATCGTCCAGAACTTAGGCTTCCAGCATCTCTCCACTGACCCACTTCTTGCAAGAAAATATCAGAGCCATCACAGAAGTTGGTGATATGGCAAAGCAGTATATAAGAAAAGGACTTTTGATTCCAGATCATGTGATCACGTTCCTAATGATGTTGGTTCTGGAGAATAGGCAAGGCTAGAACTGGCTACTAGATGGTTTCCTGAGGACTTTAGTACAAGCAGAAGCCCTGTACAGAATCTGTGAGCTGGATCTAATGATCTCTTTGCATATTCCATATGAAACATTCAAAGTTCATCTCAGCAGACATTGGATTCACCCTCATAGTGAGAGAGTATATAACCTGGAGTTCAATCCACCTCATGTGGTTTGATGACATCACTGGGGAGCCATTAGTCCAGCAAGAAGATGATAAATCTGAAGCAGTTGCTGCCAGGCTAAGACAATACAAAGTAATGGCAAAGCCAGTCATTGATTTATACAAGTCCTGAGGTGTGTTTCATTAGTTTTATGGAACAGAGACTAATAAAATCTGGCCCTGTGTTCACAGGACCAACGGTAAAGAGTAAAGAATGAGACAGGACACCAAGAATGGAGGAGAAACAGAGCATAAAGCAAGGGCCAAACAGCTGGAAGAACTGAAGCGCCAAACACAGCCTCCCTGTGTCTTTACTGAAAATTACCAGAGAGCAAATGACAAAAAGAATTCTATGCGAATGAAGCTGAGCTCTTTCTAGTGAAAACCTTATGCTTGACTCAGGAGGGAGAGGTTAGCAAATACAATCCAAGAATTGTGCAAACCCTGTGAACACCTAAGGTCTGCCTTGGCTCCTCAGGGGGAATTCCAGCTTGTATCTGCACCTCCGTCATATCCTGATAGAGCATCTGGTTTATCGTTAATAAGTGGTTTGAAATTTGTCTTTACACACACGTGCTTATCTCAAACAAGATCACGACTATTGAATCCAAAGAAGCATAAAGAGCCTGCCCAATGTTAGATGTGAAATATTGGTGCCGTATCCCTGTTAGAAGCTAGCTGATACAACTTGCAGTGTCTAGTTTAAATGGTAAACTGATATGAAAACTAGTGAATAAAAAGAAAAGAAAAAGAGTGCACTAGCCATATTTGACTAATCTGCAAGATTTTACTTGGGTGTGATAGTAATGTTACTATGTTCATTTTTCGTTATGTATGTTCAAACTCTATTCTGACCGAAACAACGTAAATATGGTTTGGATCTATGATGTGCTCATACCCATTGTTACAGTCACTGTGTTTATCTTGTTGAGGGTCTTCCTCACCTTTGCTGAGCCTTCACCTGTCCTGAAGTATGTGAGACCAAATTTCACCATCCTTGCCTCTAAGGAGCAACTGTTTGCTCTTCTTCCAAGACAGACTTGTTTCTTTTTTGTCAGTCTGGGATATTCAGTACTCTTCTCCAACAAGACAGCTTGAAAGAAAGCATTAACAGCTGGTGGTCTGTTCCAGTGCATCTTCCTGGTAGTCTCTCAGGGTGAGAGTGGCATTTATTGTCCTGATTTGGAAAGCCAGACCCTGCATGCCCATTGAGGGGAAGCCAGGACTCTAGGCCAGCTCAGCTCCATGCGCCGTGTGCTGACAAAATAACTCCAAAAGATGAGTCATAAACATAGATTTGTTAAAAGTCCTGTGTAAACATTCAGGCTTTTGAAAGGTTTGGCGTCCCCTAACTCTGTGCCGACTCGCTCTCCCACTCAAGTCATGAGCATACCTGTTCCCAAGCACTAGCACACAGCTTTCCCACTGCCGCAAGTTAGATGGGTGAGGAGTGATGTTTTTCTATGATTCTATCTACATATCTCTCACTGCAAGTACAGGAAGCCTTTTATGTGTTCAAGTGTCATTTATGCTTCTTGTTTGCCAGCAGCCTTCTTTTGGCCCATTTTTATAGTTCTTCATTTAGTTCTTTATATAATTCTTCATTTTCACTTAGTAATTTTAGGGTTTTGTATGGCTAACCTGTGCCATGAGTTGCAAATATTTCCCATTTGTCTTTAAAGAAATCCCACAGCTGCACAGTGCTTCTCTCTGTGAAGATCCGCTGTCTTCATGTGTCCACCTTTTGGCTGTATGGTAAGACATGCAGCTTCTGGAGTGTGCTGAAAGTGACTAGCTCCCTTCCTGGAGAAAGGCCTCATTGCACTGTTGTAGTGATAATTTCTGTGTGTTTAAATTTTTTACTCATCTTGAGGTTTTTGTGCTGTGGAGTATGAGGTAGGGTGCAACTTTATTTTTTCCAATGAATACTCAGTAATGTTATTAAATCTGGTTTTATATGCTGATTAAAATATTATCTGGATACTTCATAGTGCTTATTGAATAATTTGTTTTCTCACATGGGTTAAAACAAGCTTGGAAGCAAGAGTGGCATCCACTTCCAAAATAGCTTGCCTCTGGAAACCCTATGAACCTGGAGAAAAGACAAAAGTTAGACAAATGTCCAGGTCTTTCCTTCATAGGGGCGCTATGAGTCGCCTACGACTCTACGGCACTTAATAACAACAACATCATAGAGAGAGATCAGTTGGCCTAGTGGACAGAAAGTGATGATACCAAGCCAAAGGTGGGTGACTCTAATCTGTGGCCCTCAGACCTATCTTTAACTGTTTTTGGTGAAACATAGCCCTGGTCTGTCCACTTGCTGTACAGAGGTAACTCGTGGTTGCTATGAAGCTTAACACTGTGGCACTGATGTGTCAAATGCCAGAATGGTTACCCATGGTGGACAGTGTTTGGTGGAGCTCCCCGATTAAAACAAGCTTGGAAGCAGGAGTGGCATCCACTTCCAAAATAGCTTGTCTCTAGAAACCCTGTGACCCTGGAGAAAGGACAAAGTTATACAAGTGTTCAGGTCTTTTGTTCATAGGTTCACTATGAGTCGCCTACAACTCGACATCACTTAACAACAACACATGGGTTAAAATATCACTTTGGGAGCTCTGGTGGCCTAGTGGCAAGAGGCTGCACTGCAATCCCAGAGGCACACGATTCGAATCCGCCAGATGCTCTGCTGGAGAAGGAGGGACAATCTCCTCCTGTACCAGTTGGATCCAATTTGATGGTACACACACACAAATAAATTAATTAAAAATTCACTTTGATCAGACACTTCATTATTTTACATATTTGAATGTATTTCTTCGTTTCCTAGCTTCTTTCACCGATGTGCCTGTATTGACATATATTAGCACCAAACTTTCTTATTTCCATGGTTTTCCATAGTATTCAAACCTCCTAAGACCATTTTGTTTTCTAGAATTTTCTTGGCGATCCTTACATGTTACTGATCTTCAGCTTGCCAGGACCCTCAAGAACCCCTGTGACACAGGAGCTAGGCAGGCACAGAATCTGTAGACTGACTTAATAATGAAATGGACTATAATTCACAGGGTTCTTGTAAGCATAGATGTATATGAGGCTCACCTCTCTTTTGTTGTTATGTGCCGTTGAGTCTCCTGCGACTCCTAACAACCCTATGTATAACATCTCTGCAACCTGCCCTGTCCTGAGCCAGTCTCACTGACTCCAACACACCTACCTCCATTACCCCAGTTACTGTGTCAGTCCACCTCTTATTCTCCTGTGCTATTCCTCCACCCTTCCAAGCTTGATGTCCTTCTCCAGGGACTGGTCCATCCTGGCCTGGCCACGTGCCCAAAGTATTTTAGATGGAACTTCAAAGTCCTTGCTTCCAAAGAGAAACTTGGTTCACTTCTTTAGTTCATATTAAAGGACTCACTCAAACAAGAAAGTATCCCTATAGCCTAAAGTTTCAGAGAAGTAAGACTAAAAAAGACACTGTTGTTGTTGGGTGCTGTCAAGTAATGAACAGCAGATTTGAATCTTGCCCTATCTTGCCCAACTTGTCATTGTTGTTGATTGCCTTCAAGTCAGGCACGACTCAGCGACCCTATGAACAAAAGGTCTGAAGCCCCTCTACAACTATGAACATTTATTTAAGTTAATAGTTTCTAGAGGTGTGTTGTTTAGGAAGTGGATGCCACTCCTGCCCCACAAGGAACATAAAATTGAAGGGTTTGTTTGGGGTGCTTTTTTTAGCATGAATCCCTCCAACTCATGTATTTGCTTTATGATCTTTTAAATCTTGTTGTGCCCTGGAAAGCAGAGAAAAGAAGAATTAACTGTGATGTGGTTTTTAAGTGTGGAAAGTGGGTTTAAGCCTTGGCTTTTATCGCCTTGCTTAGGTAAAGAGTGTTTCTTCTCTCTTATTATCATAGCCTAAATGCAGTGGCCAGCTGCTTCTGACGCAAGTGTGGACACGCCTAAACTTGATAGAGTCTGACTACTTCGGGCTGGAGTTCCTGAATGTCCAGTCCTGCTGGGTATGTGAGACTCTTCTCTTAGCTTTGGAAACAGGTATGGAGACGTTGCAGGTGTCACAAGAGCCTTCAGAACCTGTGACAACAAAGGAGGTGCTATCTACCTGTGTACAAGCGTTAAAGCATTTTGTTTCTAGATGGAGGAAATAAGTTTCCCCTTAATCTGGGCCTCTGTGTCCATTAATATATGTTCTGGAACTGTCCTTTCTTTCCAAGTTCTAAAAGCAGCTTCCAGTCCTATAGGGTCATCCTCTGTAGGCAATCTTCCTGTAGACAGGTGACCTTATCTCCCCAGTGTGAGATGGAGCCTCACCAAGGACAGAGCTGCGTTTTGGTGCTGGTCACAGAGCTGTCTCTCTCTCTCATGGCCCTTCTATCCAGTAACCACTCATTGGCTTGTTCTTTACAAATTCTGTGTGCAGGTGGTGTCAGAATAGTCATCGGTACTGCTCTGACACTGCATTTGCTCCTTTGTGTGACTTGGGAATGCTAGGATCCCACACGGGAATCTTGCTGCTTCCGGAGGGGCTGGGGTGAGAGCTGGAGGGCTCCCACAGCAAATATTTCTCTAAATTAGAAGTAATTTTATATTTTATAATGTTTATTAGAGAAATTTTTTAACGGACTTGCTCACTTTTCTTAAATCCACTTTAGATCTGGCTTGAACCTATGAAGCCCATTGTTCGGCAAGTAAGGAGTGAGTACATTTTAAACTTTAAGATTCTGTTCATTTACAGTTTTGCTCTGCAATGTTCACATACCAGGAACTAGTATCTAACACTGATATCAGACACTGTTTTCAAGTTCATTAAAGTATTCTGAGCATAATCTGAAGTTCTTCTCATGGCAGATCAATTTGGGAGGCACTTTACTATTCTCATTGAGCTGTTAGGAAAAGGCCAGCATTTTTGCCTCAGGTGGTTTCAGTTCTACCCATATGTGCTGCTTTGATTTTCAGATTATGAGAAGTTATTGCTATTACTCTTTTAGGTAACATTTTAAATAAATTAGTTAATCTCTCGCATGATTTCCAGCATCTGAAAACCCAATGAAGGGTCAGTTATGACTTGGTCTGACTCAGTAACCATGAGGGGGATTTTCTGGTTATCGTTATAACTGTAATTGTAAACATAACACTTTTTGGTATTCTCTGTTAATTTTTTTTTAAAAGGCAACCTGTATTGATGCTACTTAGCCTCTAGCAGAGGATGTTCTCCAGATACTGGCATTCACTCCTAATTGTTTTCAGTACTGAGTTGAGGGAAAGGTAACTGGGAGAGTAATACACTGGGCACTGGGAAAACTAGAGTCCTTTCAGTGCTGCACACTTGAGTAAAATCACCCCCTTTGTCTTTGTGAAAATGACTTGGCCATTATTAAACAATTTCAGTAAAGTTAGGATGCTAAATTGAGATCAGCTAATGAGTCTTTTTTTTCTGAGAATGAGTACTATGCCTTTTATTTACATTACTCAGTTCAATGCTCTGAAATGGCACACAGTATACCATATAAGCTAGGGAGCTCTGGTGGCCTAGAGGAGATATTGCACTGTCAGCCCAAAATTGCACTGTCAGCCCAAAGTCACGTGGTTCAAATCCACCAGCTTCTCTGCGGGATAAAGATGAGCAGTCTCCTCCTGTGTGATTTATTTCGTCTGAAAACCTGCTGGAGAGTCAGCTATGACTAAACTCCAACTCAACAGTATATAACAAAAACAAATATTTACTACAACAACAAAAAAAACACAAACCCTGCAGGTATATACTATGTGCTCGTAAAAGAAACTACAAATATACCATTATAGGGTGGAGGGACAGCGCAGGAGGGGAAAGCCCTCTTTGAGGTGGGTTGATTCAGTAACTGGGGTAATCGGGATAGATATATCGGAAACAGTGCAATTGGCACAGGACAGAGCAGAGTTTCAGGCTGTTGTACATAGGGTAGCTATGAGTCGCAAGCGACTTGACGGCACAACAACAACCTCAAAAGAAAAACCCAACAACAAATATACTAAAATGTAAGTATATAAAAACCATCTTTATTTTTATTACTAATATAAAATTACATCTGTGCAAAGAATCGCTTGAGAAGCTCAGTATCAGCTTTGAAAACTGGGCCAGGTGCTGATTGTGGAACACACCACGAACTACTCATATGCATGTTCAAGCTGAAGCTCAGGAAAATTAAACCAAATCCACAGGAACCAAAATTTGACCTTGAGTCACACATAAATTTCAAAACCATCTCAGGAACATGTTTGAGGCCTTGAACACTAGTGAGTGAAGACTAGATGAGCTCTGGGAAGACATCAAGAATATCATCTAGAAGAATGCAGGGGGTCATTACAAAGACAGAGGAGGAAAAAAGACCAAGATGTATGTCACAAGAGACTCTGAATATTGCACTAGAGTACCGAGAAGCCAAGCCTAAGGGGGAAAAAAAATAAGATATTAAGGAGTTGAACATAAGATTCCAAAGGGTAGCATTGGAAGACAAAGTAAAGTATTACAAAGAAATGGGCAGAGAGCTGAAGTCAGAAAATCAAAGGGACTGACCTCTCTCAGCATTTCTTAAGCTAAAGGAACTGAAGAACAAATTCAAGTCTTGGATTACAATACTTAAGGTTGCTTTGGGCAGAATATTAAATGATGCAGGAAGCATTAAAAGAAGAGGGAAACAGTATACAGAGTCATTGTACCAAAAGGAATTGGCGGACGCAGAAGAATTTCATGAAACAGTGTATGAGCATGAGCTTGTGTTGATGAAAGAAGTTCAAGCTCCTCTGAAGGAATCAGCAAAAAACAAGGTCCCAGAAATTGAAGGCATGCGAATTGACATATTTCAATAGGTAGACACTTCCCTGGATGTGTTCACCAAGTTGTGCCAAGAAATCTGTAGGCCAACTGACTGGAAGAGATCTATATTTGTTCCCATTCCAAAGAAAGGTGACCCAACAGTGTGAAAATTATCAAACAATATTATTAATATCACATGCAAGCAAGATTCTACTGAAGATTGTCCAAAAACCACTGGAACAGCATATCAACAGAGAACTGCCTGAAGTGCAAGCTGAGTTTGGAAGAGGCTGTGGTGTTAAGGATATTATAGCTAATGTTACATGGATCTTGGCTGAAAGCAGGAAGTACCAGAGGAATTTCTATATGTGTTTCATTGACTATGCAAAGGCATTTTACTACATGGATCACAACAAACTGTGGCTAACTCTGAGAAGAATGGGAATACCAGAACATTTGATTGTGCTTATGCGAAACCTATACTTAGACCAGGAGGCAGTCATCAAAACAGAACAAGGAAACACGGCATGGTTCAAAACTGGGAAGGGTGTACACCAGGGACCTTACCTCAGTACCTTATCTCCATATCTTTTCAATCTATATGCAGAACAGATTATCTGGGAGCCTGGACTCTTTGAGGAGAAATATGGCATCAGGATTGGCGGAAGACTCATTAACAATCAGTGTTATGCAGATGACACAACCCTGCTTCCTGAAACTGAAGAGGACCTGAAGCACTTGGCTGCAGAAGATCAAGAACTACAACCTTAAATGTGGATTGAAGCTCAACATCAAGAAAACAAAGGTTCTCTTTAGGCCATTTGGCAGCATCATGATGGAGGTGAAGAGATTGCGATTGTTGACAGCTTTAGTTTGCTTGACTCCACAATCAACACTCTTGGTACCAGCAGCCAGAAGATGAAAAGATGAATTGCACTGGGAAAGTCTGCTGTCAGAGACTGCTCCAAAGTACTGCAGAACAATGACGTGTCAGTCTGGAGACTAAGGCGTGCCTGATTCAGGACATAGTCTTTGCCATTACTTGCTTTGCATCAGAAAGCTGGACAATGACTAGGGATGACAGAAGAAGAATTGATGCCTTTGAGTTGCGGTGTTGGCGAAGAATATACCATGGACTGCTAGGAGAACAGATTCATCCTAGAGGGGTGAGACCAGGCTGCTCCTTGGAGGCAAAGATTCTGAAACTTCTTCTGACATACTTTAGACATGTTGCAAGGAGGAACCAGTCCTTGGAGAGTGACATCATGCTTATGAAGGTGGAAGTACAGGGCAAGAGGGGAAGACCTTCGATGAGACCCTTGATTCAGCGACTGGGTTAACGGGAGTAGATGTGTTAGAGACAATAAGATTGGCACAGGATAGAGCAGGGTTTAGAGCTGCTGTACATCGGGTCACTATGAGTTGCAGGTGGCTGGACAGCACATTACAGCAACACAATATAAAACATATTTGTATTTCTCATTCTTCAGTCCTAATGCATGAACTGGTGGAACACAGGGCATTTTGAAGGCAGTGACAGTATTCTGTGTGACACTGTCATGGTGGGCACATGACATGAGATACTTGTCTGAACCTGCAGTCCTGTGCACAGAACATTGCACTTCCTGTCAGTATTGAACCTGAGAGAGTTCTGGTATCTCTATTTGTTCATCAGCTGTAACAGATACACCACAGGACTGCACACTGTTACACAGTGGACTGTGTGCAAGAGAGGACATTATAGGAACCCTTTGTACTTTCTGCTCCAAAAAAATAAAGTCTATATTAAAAATATGAATAAGAATGTCCTCTAAAATGGACATGTACTATTTTCTACATATTTTGGAGATTTTCTTAAATCCTATTGTCTGCTTTATTTAGAAAATGTAAAAGATTTTCTTTGATATATGGTATTGATACTGTGACTAGTGCTAGCTCAGAGAATACCTTAGGTAAGATCTTATTTGAGATTTGCTCAAGTAGTTCATTTGGAAGCACTAGCTTAGTTTACCATGATGTATGGAATAGGTAAATAGAAAAGTTGACATTTTTTGTGTAGCTGATATTTTTTGTTATTCTAGGGCCAAAGAATGCATTGCTTCGCCTGTCTGTAAAGTTTTTCCCACCGGACCCAGGTCAACTGCAAGAAGAATACACAAGGTAGAGAGAACACATCGTGAACTGGGGTGGTATGTGCAGGGGGATATGGCCACTTTCCTTCCCACACATAGTGCTAGTGGTCCAGCAGCAGGGTGTGCTTGTCAAGAGGAGAATGGGCCTCCTAGATGGACGAAAAGTGTGATAAACACAGTGGTTAAAATAAGTATTTAACTGTTGACTCTAGCACAAAAACAAATGTAAAAAGAGTTTGCAAAAAAGGTACTTAGTACAAACAAAAAAACCATGAGTGGATAGTAGAGTAATTTGAATTACTAGGTTACAAAATAAACATAGATTTCTGCACTCACAGAAAGTTCTTGAGAACTTTCGAGTATATATTTACTTTTCTTTATCTGGAAAATAACACATATTGGGAAGGAGTCCAGCGTGGTGGGTCCTTACAGATACAAAGTAGACTTACTGAGGTGAGTTCTTTGTGCCACATGTTGAATTCAAAGGGATTCTTTAGAAGACTAGTCAGAAGAAAATGTTAACAGGTTTCATCTTAGTCAATTATGAAGCTTTGCTTTGTGTTTGTATGTGTTCCAGCATTTATTACTTTTCTAATAATCATAAAACCACATCATAAAACACCTGAATAAGATTCACAACTGAAATAGAAAAGAACTATGACACTTGTATTGCTGGCAAGAGCAGCTTCTAGTATTCTGGACTGAAAAAGGTTCCAGAAATGGGTCACAGATGCATCTGGAGCCTTTCTTGAACGGTGTCTGCAGATTGTTTGGGCACTACATATCCCAGGTGTCCGCTACAGGGTGGGAGGTCTAGTATCTGCACTGCTCCACCTCTCACAGACATCAGACACGCTTCACTGTGGGCAATGCCTGCCAGCTGGGAAAAGCTTCCTTGTGAGGGAATCACTTCTAAATACACAGACCTGGAAAATAATGGGACCAAGAGCACTACCCAGGCAAAGGTTCTGAGGGATCAGGTTTATGATTATTACCTCCTCTTTTTTGTGTGTTGAAAGCCATTTATTTCAGTGAGAAATTACATGCTTGTCAAAAATTAAGAACTACAACTTAAAAACCAGTTAAGGTTCCTTTCACTGCCTGCACATCTGTCCTTAACAGTGGAGTCTTTTCTTCAGATGACTCCACAGCAGAGCTCATGTACACATAGAGTTTTCAAGAAAGCAATATTTTATGAAACAGTATAAAGATGTATATGGCTATCTCTAGGTTGGTTTTTTTCCTCTGTGTTACTTAATACCACGTCATAGACATCTTTCCATGTTAGTGTATCTCAGATCCTTACCCAGGCCCACTACAACCCTCTGTTTAGAGCTCTACAGCCATTTGGAAACCATGCTGCGTTTTCCATACTGTGAGCATGCAGGTGTGTTTGAGTGTGTGACAAGGGTGCTAAGAATCTGCACACTTCTTATTTGAAGGTGTTGCTCCCAGTACTGTGACAACGTGGGTCTGTAGCATTCTTGGGCGGTCTCCATTGTTACCATCTAAGTGCTATTGTGTGCCATCAGCGCTTTGTGTGCGTTAGCTGATGTGCGTGCTGAGCTCTGCTGATACAGTCTGTCCTCTGACCTTTGCTGGCTTGCTGCTGTGGCATGAAAGACCTTTTGTAGTTACAGTGGCATTCAATTCAGGCCATGTGCTTCCTGGGTGCTGCCTTCCCCTTTCCTGTGACCAACAAGTCACTATGCTCACTGTGAACTGTCCTGTCTGGGGCCCACTGTTTCCTCCAGTGAGCAATTGACATTGGAACTGACCTCTGCCATACTTTCAACCCCTTCCAGGTACCTGTTTGCCCTGCAGCTCAAGAGGGACTTGCTAGAAGGGCAGCTGACTTGCAGCAACACCACGGCAGCTCTCCTCGCATCCCATCTCCTGCAGTGTCAGTATCTGTGTGTATAGTGACGTCACAGGCTCTGGCCAGTGAACGCACAACTAAGAGCAGGCCAGAGTGGGGCTTCGACATGCAGCTGTGTCTGATGTGCTTCTGTAAAGTGAAGTTCTTCCCGGCACATGTCCTGCCAGGAGTGGAACTGGAGGGCATCCAGTGGGTGTGCAGCAGTCCATCTGCCTTCTCTTACCAGATGCAGAGTGAAGCCCCCCATGTCCTGAGGAGGCCTTTCTTGAGGGAATCATGTACTCTCACTAGCTCTGCATCAGAACTGAGAGGACAGAGAGCCCAGCACTGGGTGTCCCATACTGCATGAGATGACTGAGTGTGAAGTTTTGCTCTCACAGCTGATAGAGCTGTATGCAGAGCAGGTTCTGCGCAGGTGTTTAGCCCACCACCTGAGTGCCAGCAGCAGGGAGAAAATGCCTTTGTCCCCAGCTGGGGCTGAGCCACGCCTCCTGAGTGCAGAGCCAGAGTTTGAGCACAGAAAGTTGGGGTGACTACCTTCATGGGTATTTAGGAATTGAGTTATGAGGGGACTTTACTACCCTGATACATACTCTTCGGTAATAGACTTCATCCTGGCACCATACTGCTGTGTGGGGCTTACTGATCAATCCTCACTCACATGGCTTTTATTCATAGAGCTGAGGGTTACCAGGTGGACAGGTGGCTTAATAGTGCCTTTGAGAGCCACTGCCCAGCAGTCTTCTCTTGCTGTTAGATCTTATTGAGCTTGATATCACAGTCACAGCTTTTGCAGGCACGATCTTCACCTGAGCAGTACTGCTGAGACTGAATGTCACAGAAGGGGTGGGGAAGCTAGAGCAGGGTGAATTAAGAGCAGACCCCTTTCTTCCATGAAGACATCAGGGCAAGGAAGAGATTGAGTGGGACCGAGGTGCAGATGGGAAGTGGCAGGCCTTTGTGGATAGTGTGGGTGGCCTAGTGACCCCGTGTGCAGGGGGTCCACTGATGGCAGCTTGCTCACAGAGAGCACTAGTGTGCTCAGCACTTCTCCGTAGGTCTCAGAGGTTGTTCCAAATCAAACAAAAAAGTATGTTACATAAAATTGTTGAGTTTTACTAATGGTTGATGAGTTGTTCTGTTTTTTTAACATTTGTGGCCCTAAAATATAAGACATTGGAAAGAGATACTGTTTCTAAAGAAATTTGACAATCTGTGAAGGAAACATGATTTAAAATACAATATTTGGAGACAGACACCTCTTCCCCTTTGTGGAAGTCCCAATACGACTCCAGTGTGAAGTGTAAATAGTGCACACACTGTAGACTCCAGGCCCCATTTCCTCCTGGAGACCATCCCCAGCCTTGTCTTCAGAATCAGGAAATCCTCAGCTTCTGCCTGTGTCACCCTGAATTACCTTTGTAGCAGCAGAAAATACTTGAACACATAAAATGCAACATCTTGGATTTTCAGATACATATTCGTTTACTATATATGTAGGACATGTGTAAAAAGAGCAAGGACCACATGGAGATTCCCATATCTGAACCGTATCAACTTCACAAAGGAGAGCTGTCCCTGCCCACAAGATCAGTAACATAAAACTAATGCCCATGAGGTCAGACCTGTCCCCAGTGCTCCCCTGCCTCCATCTACTCATCTCGACACCAATCTTACTTCTTTGGTGGGTCCAAAATCTGATGTGATACCGCAGAGACCACACAAAACTATATTGGGGAAGTCAAAGGGTTATAATTCAGATTATTAACAGTATATCGTCAAGACAGCTCCCAAAATGTGTAGGCAGGCACCTTAGCCTCAAGCCTCATGATGTTCCCAAGTTCTCAGTCCTGCAGATACTGGCTTCCCTCCCCCAGTTACCCAGTGAAGTTCTCAGACCTACTGATATTGGCTTCCCTCCTCCAGTTGTCCGACAAAATTGTCAGTCCTGCCAATATTGGCATTCCCCGGTTGTCTAACAAAATTCTCTGTGCTGCCCATATTAGCTCACCACCACTACCCAAAGTCTCATCTCATGTCAGTTCTCCAGTTCAGCCATGGCTTTGGCTGCCATTTCAAAGTGTGTCTTACATTTTATTTCTTTTTTCAATTTTAATTGTGATTTTAGTGAAAGTTTACAGAAAAGTTAAATTTTAATTCATTTATTGTTGCATATTTTACCCCTTCTCCCTTTTCCCCCTCCCCAGTTTACTTTTTTTAATGTTCATTCATTGTTGCATAATTAGCTCCCTCCTCCCCCACCCTGTCCTCTGCAATGTACCTCTTATTCTGGGCTGTTGTCATATGCATAATGCCTAATCATATAATATTCCTGTGTCATACATATTATTGCCTCCTCTTCACCAGAGTGGGGAAGATCTCTCTTCTCTGGCTGGGGAGGATTCTCATTCTTCTGGCTAGGGCTATTCAGTTTATTGGTGAGACTAGCCAGTAGCCAGTCTTCCTATAGATTGTTGAGACTGGCCAATCCCCTTGTGGAATGGTAGATAGCCATTCCCTTTGTAAGTAAGTCAACATGCTCTGTTTGCAGAGTTCTGCACATCCACATAGTCATCCATCCTAGAAAAGCTGTATTTAAAGGCAAACTCCATAATGTGTGTGTGTGTGTGTGTATGTTTGTATCTGTATTTAACTTTTTCATATGTGTTTGAATATACCAACACTAAGTTTTACTTTCGTTACACATTAAATTGCTGACTTTGTTATCCATCGCAGCGGAAATAGGTGACTATGATGAAGTTCTTGACAGAGAGCACCTCAAAGTCAACCAGTACCTGCCTGACCAGGCACACTCCCTGGAGAAGGTGCTGGAATTCCATCAGAAGCACACGTGAGTCTATCAGAGTCAGGGCAGGTGCATTGTCATGACTGGACAGCATTCCACTAAGGGGATGGGTAATTGCAGGGCCTGTTCTGGGTCTTCTCCTGGTCAGAACCTGGGCTCATCCGATCACACAGCAATGATTTCAAGAAGACTGGAAAAGACACCAGGACCTGGGCATAGCGAAAAGAAACAAAGCTACCTTTCACCTGCCCACAAGCTGTTTTCTCTCTAAAGCATGCGTGACATTTTCTGCAAGGCTAGAGTAACTCTGGAATGGAGTAGAAGCAACTTGGATTGAGGTTAGCAGAACTTCCTGCAGCACAGGAATTGCTGGTTTTGTCCACAGTAATAATATTCTGTGGCTGCTCCATGGTCACCTCCAAACCTGACAGTTCTGTGTTCTCAAATGTGCAGAGAGGGAGCTAATAGGGTCCTGGAGGAGGCAGATGGAGCAGAAGTGGAGAGAGCCTTGTGGGAGCAGAGGCAGTGGCCTTTGGACAGGTGTTCTTGACATTCTTGTCACCACAGAGCTAAGTTTTCTCTGGTGATTCTCCCTGCCTTTTCCTGGTGGCTCATGTGAGAGACTCTCCTGAGACTCACTCACATTGTCTCGTCTCCCTATGTCCTCCACTCAGCTGACCAGAGGATCCCTTTCTCTCTAAGCAACATGCATATTTGTCCAAGTCCAATTATGTCCTGATCCACAGAGTCAAATTCTCTCCATGAGGGAGTTTTGCTGTCTTTGCAGGGGCCAGACACCAGCTGAGTCCGATTTCCAAGTGCTTGAAATTGCTCGGAAGTTGGAGATGTATGGCATCAGGTTTCATGTGGCTTCTGACAGGGAGGGGACCAAGATTAACCTGGCCGTGTCCCACATGGGTGTCCTTGTGTTTCAGGTAGGCAGGGGTGGCCATCCAAGGTGGGGGACTGCAGTGTGCTGTCTACCCTGAGGTGGTGCTGAGAAGTCCTTGAATGGGGACTCTTAGTCTCATGGGAAAGTATTGGGCTTGGAGGAGGGATTTTCATGTCTCTCATCAATGTCTCAGTCAGTGGTGAAGTTATTTATCATGCCCCCTCTAGCCTGTGTCATTGTCCTCAAGGTCATGGTGCTCACTGCCACGGAGGTGAAGTCCACACACCATCGATCTACCATGTCCAGCTGTCCTTTCAGTGGTTTTAGTGTATTCACAAGAGTGTTCAGTCATCACTGTGATCTGACTCCAGAATCCTGTCCTTGTTAGTAGTCATACCTCAGGCTCCCAGCCCTGGCAGCCAGTCATCTGGGTTCTGTCCCTGTGGCTTTGCCCGTGAATTGAATTATACAATAGATGGCTTTTTTATCTGCCTCCTTTCACAAAGATAATGTGTGCAGGGTCATGCAAGTTGTGACATGTGTCCATGCTTCGTTCCTTTTTATGGCTAAGGAGTTTGTTTTTAATGTCTTTGGAGAGAAAACTGTTTAAATTGTTGTTTCCCATCTGAAGTTTGCAGAAAATAATAGTCAAGAGTAGCTTAAGACCTTGGAACATGTTTCAGTCATTTAAAACCATTTTATTTTCAGCAGTTTCATTCTTACAGAAAAGTTTCTAGAACAATGCAGAGAACTCTTGCTTACTCTTCTCCATGAGACCCCATTCAGATGTCAGCAGTCACCTGTGATACTTTTAGAGCCAGGGACTGGTCTGGTCTTGGGCCAGGCACTGCCCCCAGTCACTCTGTTCTTCTGACCTCCTTCCATCTGGCTCTTCATAACTGAAAGTTTTCAGGTGGTAGTTGGTCAGCTCATACTCATGAGTACTCCCTCAGTTAGCTTCTCAGGCAGGTTAACCACAGAGCTACCAGAATCCTGTGGCTTCAGTCACACACCAGAGGAGACTGCCCTCTCCATGACTAGTGGTGGTCGCTTTGATCTTACCCTCAAGATGGAGTTTGTAAGATGCATCCTTGTAGAGAGACTCTGAGTGCATGGCACCACCCCAGTGCCTGGAGGGTGAGCCTTCCAACAACTGCTCCCTGTTTACTTCCTTTATGTTTCCACGTCATGTGAGTACATGGACACACATTGTAATTATATTCTAATTCCTATTGTAGCAATTTAGATTACAATCTGATGCTTTTCATCCATTAATTATCATTCTGTATATTCATCTTGATGTTGTCCCGGGTTTCTACAGTGGGGGAGCCCTTCGAGCCATCTCCCTATGCCCTGAGCACTCCTTCACTTTCTTTCACAGGAGATACACAGGTTTACCTACACTCTACCTGCTCTGCCCTCAGTTAGTCTTTTTACAAAGAGCCATTGTCCCTTCAGTGGGGAGATTTGTTTGGAAACGTGGATCTACATGCTAGTATGCATGCTGTTACTATGCATTGTCACTTCCCCATGGTCCCTCTTCCCCAAGGACAAAACAGCATTTGTGCATGCACACACACACACACACACACACACACACACACATCATCCGTCTACACATACATATGTGCCCACACCCCACATGGACCCCCATGTCTCTGTACATACACACGTCACATACCCGACATGGGTCCTTGGCATCTCTGTGCCTACACTCCACGTGCTTCCCTGTGTCTCTGCAGACACTTAGGCACACACCTGGCATGGACCCCCTAAAGTGTGCACATAAATGACATGTGGATCTTTGTATCTATCTGTACACATGTACACATACATACACACCCTTACTTATACACTAATATTTATGTCTTTTTTGGTGTACACACAACCCTACCTAGATCGCTGTCTGTATATGTGTGTATATACAACATACATGTGGACCTGTCTGTCCATGCACACATGAGTGTACTCATTCACTCATCCCTACATTTATCTCTATTCATCTGTTTATACATAGACCCCACCACAGGTGTCTGTAGCACAACCACATGGATCTTTGTTGGCACACACTAACCCTGAGATTACATGCCAGAGCCACTTCCTGTCCAGCACCACAGGACTCATTCTGTCCAGATTTCCTCCTCTCTGAAAAGCCCAACTCCTACGCACTGACCTACCTAACTACCTCCTTCCACCCTCCTCACAAACAGCTTTTGATTGATACTGACTCTGGTAAGCATAAGCTATAAGATAATCTCAAAAGAATAAGCTATCTTTTAAAATAGATAAATTGGCATATGTCCTCTTTATATAAATATGAGACACCAAATGAGTGACTTGGGAAAGGGCACTCTGCCCATGAGAAACTTTTAAGTGTGCTTAGTGACCATTGTTGCTACGTGCTTGTCTCTTACGTTTCAGGGCACCACCAAAATTAATACTTTCAATTGGTCTAAGGTCCGTAAACTAAGCTTCAAGAGGAAGAGATTCCTTATTAAACTCCACCCAGAGGTCCATGTAAGTATTAATTTAATCATTTTTGGTAAATTCTAAGGGAATTTATTCTGTTAGAATACTGAGTATTTGAATAATTTACTAAATCATTTTAGCATAAGGCAAATAAGAATGTAAAGAAGGTTTAAAATGTAAGTCTGGTAAGTTCTAGGAGATCTCTTCCAGTCAGTTGGCCAAGTGGTTGTTCTCCAGATTTCTTGACACAACTTGGTGAGCAAGTCCAGGGAAACATCTTTTATCTGAAATACTTCAATTGGTATACCATCTATTCCTGGGGCCTTATTTTTTGCTATTTCCTTCAAAGCAGCTTGAACTT